TAAGCCGCCTCTGAACGACTCATGGTTTTTTTATGAGGAGTATTTATTTCATGTCAGAAATTCACTCGGAGGAGTTGACGTTCCCTGCCGAGGATCAAGATAATGTTAAATTTTTTTCAATTAAGTTTATTATTTTCTTATTTATTTTTATATAATTTTATTTTAATTTAATATATTTAGTAATTTTTTTATTTTATTTAATGTTAGTACATTTTAATTTATTTTATTAGGTTTTTTTTTATAATTTCAATTCATTCGTTTTTTAATTGTTTTTAGATCCTTTTATTTGCACTCGATTTTTCTTCCCTTTTTCATTTGATTAAATTCGCTTTCCAAACAGCACAGCAAATCTGCTTTAATATGACAGGCTAAGTGTAAAATACTTTAAGCGTATTATTTGCTGAGCACATGACTCGGCAATAAAAAACATAGAATGAAGAAGGGTAGGAGAAAGGAAAGCACTACGATGGGGCTGAGCAACAAAGCAGTTGAACTTTCAATTGCTGCAATGGATTAATTGCAGATTTGTCGAATTTTTTTTCTCAATTATTGGCCATATTTTGGCTGAGTGGTCTTTTAGTGAAAGTGGGTGAAAAAGAAAAGTGAGATAGAGCTTAGAGGGGTCACTAGGGCGTGTGGGTAGGAGTAAAATATAACAAAAAGGGTGTTTTACGGGGTGAAGCTGTTTTTTCTTAAATTATGGAGAATTCTGGTTTCAATACGGAATGTGGCGAGACGATCACTCCCTCAAGTGGATGAAAATACTTGATGCCACAGTCTCTTTTTATCACGAACACCTTTTTAGATTTGTGACCCCTTAAATGTTTGACCGTTGTAATAGATGCCAGAAGGACTTCAGGTACCATTTTAATTTAGGGGCACTGAAATTCCAAGTGTACGCACTCAAATCATTGACCTTAGTATATTTGCTCTGCTTGTCATGTGGTTTTTCAGTGTACTGCTTTCTGAAGAGTCCCTTTAAATTAGCCGTGAACTTTGAGTAGCAACAAAATGTGTTTGTTTGGAGGTAGCGAACATTTTAGAATTCCAATACTAGAATAAAACTTCTTTAGCACTTAAAGGGCCAAAAGACTGTAGAACGATAAGTTCTCTAAACTCCAACCAGAATTACTCAATTGAATTTTAAAATGAGCTTCTGAGAATGGCACAGATGACAGATTCGCAACGACAAATGCAATCCTGTCATAAAAAATGGCACGTGACGGCGGTGAATTGGCATAAATATGGTAGAATAAATATTGCATATATGTAAATTTATATATGTCGATGTCATACCTACACCTACATACAGAGGTGACAATGCAAATTATGTGTCAAATAAAGTGAAACTGTATAAAAGACAAGCAAAAAAGTCACGAAATCTCACACATACAAGTATTTACCTACACACTCGCATGATGCTGCACTCTCGCTTAGTGTAGCAACCTCAATTTGACAACACCAACTACAACACACACTGCTCAACTGAACTGAACGGGCTATCACATTTCCTCACACATTCAAATGACACAAAATAGCAATAAAATCAAAAGTTGAATTGCAGGAAAAGAACAAAATTAAACTAAAAAACCATAAACTGAAATAAAAATACAAAACCAAAAAACGAATGAAATGCGATGATTGCGCAAAGTGATTTGAATGGCAGGCAAGGCAATAATAATACGAAAAAAAAAAATAATAAAAAGAACAGCAACAATATATAAGCATTTCAAAAGCGTCAAGCGTGCGGCGGTTGAAGCATATAGTGGAAATATTATGGTAAGGTGTAAAAGATTTTGTGAGTGAATTGAAATTTTCGACTAGCGGTAAACTCAGACCACACGTGGCGAAACTTATTTCACTGCCGACAGTATGTGTGTGTGCCGGTGAGTAAATGCCATCCGTTTGAAATTTGCAAATTCATATGGAAACTGTCAAAATATCATAACATAAATTAATTTTGATGTGTCACACAAGTCATGACAGCTGGCGGCGACGCGATGGTGGTAAAATTTCGGCAATGTAACTAATTCTTTTGGCGGAGAAAAATTCGCAAAGAGCTAAGCATACAAAATGCCCACATATTTGTTAGTAAGTGCACTGAAAGTAACAGCAGATGTCAGTTAAAAGTATAAAAGGCTTTATGTGATTTAAATAAAACTTATTATATTATATATATAATGTATATAAGCAGTTTTTATGAGATAATAATAAAAACTGTTTATATACATTATACATATAATGTATATTATAATTTTTTTTTAGTTTTAATTTTATATATTTTTATTTAGACTAATTTAATTTAACTAAAAAAAATTTTTATTTTTTATTTATTTATTTTTGCATATATAAATATATATACATATCTATACATTTATGTTTATAAAGGGTAATTTTTTTTTAGCTATTATATGCTTGGCAACACTGGCTTAAACAGCTGACGCACGTTTCGTGTTTTGTATCACTGTCCAACATCTTCAGTTCACGAAACACGCTTGCAAATGATTGAATTTTATTATCAAAATGCGTGCTCTGTTAAGGTGCAAAAAAATTGTGTTCAGCGCCAAAGCTCATTTTTGGCTTAATGTGTGCATAAATAAGCAGACTTGTAGATTTTAGAGTGAAGATCAGCCAGAAGCACTGCAAGATGATGCTAATCTTAACGTAACTGTAAACGGTGAGCTTGACTTGTATGACATGTGGTTTCAAAAAAAAAGGTACCACATGCCACACCGCACGGGTAACAATGGACTTATTGAGAGGCGAGTCCAGTGAACATTTTATTTCACGTTCGGGACCGGTCAATTGGGCACCTAGATCGTGCGACTTAACGCCTTTTGATTATTTTTTGTGTGGCTATGTTAAATCCAATGTCTATACAGACAAGCCCGCTTCAGTTGACGCATTGGAGGACAACATTGAAGCATTTATTCGTGAGATACCAGCCGAAATGTTGGAAAAAGTATGCCAAAATTGGACTAAGTCACTGTCAACATTTGCATGAAATAAATTATAAGGACCGTACTATCGATTCGAATAAAGATTTAATGCGTTTTTTCGCATTTTATGTGTTTTTGATGAAAGATTTTGATTTTATTTGAATTTATTCTTATTTAGATAGATTTGATTTATTTGATTTTATTTTCTTTTATTTGATGTTCTTTTATATTATTTTCTTTTGTTTTATTTTATATTGTTGCATTTTATTTTATTTTATTTTATTTTATTTGATTTTATTTCATTTTATTTTCTTCTTTTATTTATTTTATTTTTTTAAATTTGATTTTATTTTACATTATTTATTTTGTTATATTTAATTTTCTTTTGTTTCATTTTATTTTATTTTATTTTATTGTATTTTATTTTATTTTAGTTAAGTTTGTTTTATTCAATTTAATTTTATTAAAGTAAATTTAATTTGAGTTGGCTTAATTCAATTATACTTATTTTATTTTATTGTTTTATTTTATGTAGTTTTGACTTAGATTATTCTATTTTTTTTTCTAAATCTTTTGCTTTGTTTCATTGATGTTATCTTATTTTATTTAAGCTTAATTTATTTTACTTTTTATTTTATTCTTCTTAATTCAAATAAATTAAACTTTATTTTTTATTTTTATTTAAGTTAATTAAAATAAAATTTTTATGTATAATTTATATAATTTTTTTAATTATTATATATTTAAATATATATATATATATATTTTTATATATATTTATATGTATATGTGTATATGTTATATTTTTAATTTATTTTATTAAACTTTATTTAATACAACTTTTTTTCTTTAAATTTTTTTTTTGCTTAAACTACTCTAGTTCAGTTAATTTCAACATTTTAGAAATTATTATACTAATATTCTTTGATTTATATAACAATTTATTTTTGTATTTATTAATTTTTAAACTGTTAATTTTATTTTAATTTAATTGATTTTGTTTCATTTAATTTTTTTAACTTGAGTTCATTTATTTGATTTTATTTCCTTTTATTCTATTTAATTTAATTCTATTTTCTTTTATTCTATTTTATTTTATCTCATTTTTTTGTGTTTTACTTTGTCAAATTTTTTTAATTTGTTTTAATTGAATTTACGTTTTATTATTGTATTTAATAATGTTCCATTTTGTTTTATTTCTTTAATAAAATTTAAGACAATCTAGTTTAATTTGATTTAATTTAATTTCATTCAATTTCATTTCAGTGTTTTATATCTGATTTTATTTTTTCTACTACTTCATATTGTTTTATTTTAAATTATATTGTTTTGTCTCATTAAATCTTAAATTATTTTAATTTAATTTAATTCTATTTAATTAAAATTTTTTAACGCACTTTTTGAATTCCTATTTTATTTTTTTTTTATTTTCTCTTATTTGTCTTTTTTTATTATGCTATATAGCGGTTTTTCTTATTCAATATGATTTTAATATACGTTATTTTACTTTGCTTTGTTGTACTAAAATGTATTTTATTTTATTTTACTTTTATTTTTGTTTTGTCATTTAATTTTATTTATTTTATATTATCTTATTTTACTTTGTATTACTAAATTTTCTGTTGATTTTTATTCTTTTTATTTGATTATAACCGATTTGGTTTTATTTTATTTTTTACCAATTTTAATTTTATTTGATATTTTTGTGTGTAGATTTATTTTATTTTTATTTTTCATTTGTTTTATTTTATTCATTATAAGAATTTTATTTGATTAGTAAATTATGTCTTTACGTGTTGTTAAATTCCAATTTATAGTCGTGCAAACCTAAACAGGCATTGGCCACTGCCTGTTTTGCATTTTTTTTTTATAAAGTTTTCTTTTAAATAAATTTTTATAGAAATATATTTCAGTAGTAAAAGTGCGTTAGGTAAATGTTTTATATTCTTTTGAAGCGGTGTCAACGCCACTAAAGATTAGTAATTTTTTTTTGTTTTGTTGTAATTTCTTTTCAAATATTTATTTGTTTAAATTTAATCATTCTCTTATATGCTGTATCTCTCACACTTTCGGCGCTATTGTGATTCGCTTAAATTGCTTAACATCAGAGACTTGTATGTAAAGTATAACGGTACCTATATCATCATATGGATAACCTTCCAAGAAGTGAAATGCAATCTTATAAAGTCCCAGAGGTGGCACAATCGGCAGAAATTTCTCTTCAACATAGAGATTTTTAACAATTAAGTGCTTCTGCAACAGAAAATGGGCAAAAAAGAAAAAGTAAAAATAGTTTATAAGAAAGAAAAATATTCAAAATTTTCTTTTTATTTAGCTCGCTATCTGTCTACTTACCGTAAAAGGACAACTATGATTAACATTCGATACTCTTTTGAGTATATTCATAACGATTGTTGTGTAAGTTGGAAAATTACGTTTGTCCAAAATATTACATAAATTAGTGGTGACATTAATCAGAAACGGTTTGAATAGATTAGCGCTGTTGCGTTGGAAAATTTGTAGATTAAGCTGTGAAATGACAAATATCACATTTTTTATTTTCATATATATTTATATATATATTACAGACACATTTCTCAAATGATCCACAATATCACTTTCCATGTTGGTATGTGAACGATAACGGTTAATCGCTTTTATGCCGCACGTCGCATTTCGTATGTAACGCGCATTGGGAAAACACTCGATTTTCGTTGTTTTATAGACAATCCAGGTGTGCACCTGTGCAAGAAAAAGTGATTGAATAAAAAAGTTGAGAATAATTTATTTTAATAATCTAAAATGAACAACATCATACTGAAATAAAATGACAAATTATTTAAATTTTGTGTGATAACTAAAGTTTGCATCACTTGGACAAAAATCACCAAATCTGCAATGAAAAGAAAAATAATTTTGTATTGCATTCTCATGCCCCGCTAACTGAAAACACAATGGAAATGTTTTCCAACGCGTCGCGCATATTTTATTATCATTCAAGTAATTAATTTAAATTGTTTTCGTAATTATTTTATAGTTGAATGATTTCCGAATTAGATAAATGGATTTGTATTTGATTTAGTTTGTATTTATTAAAAAATTAAAGTATAAGGTTATCCATTTCGTGGTGTTAAAAAACTTCACTATCAAACCAAAAATGTTTCGTTTTGGTTAAAAGTCAGGCATTTATAAAAATGGATCGCTTAACAACAGCACAAGGCATTAAAAATGCCAAAACCTCTAACAAAAATGGCGATCCAAACGTGGTCACGATTCGTACTTTATGAGGGAACTGTGGTCCACATAATCATCAGACTACCCAATCCGGTTTTGATATTGGAAAACCTGTGCAACATCGTTTTGCTCGTTCCATCTCAAATATTGTGGAAGTGTAGCCGAAAACCCGAATGTGTCTACGTTCCCAAGAGCTGATACCTTCTTACGACACTTTACCGCGTATTTTGGACTTAAACTTACACCGACATCCATTCAAATCCAGTTCACACAACACCTCCAGCCAACTGAGCATTCAAAACGTCGTACCAATGTCGCTTAGGGAATTGTACAATAGGTGGACGATGAGCCGAAATAAAATATAATAAATATATATAAATAAGCAGAATTTTCGCATTTGCGGTAATGAGAATCCCGAAGTAATTGAATCACTGTCAATTCGAGGCATTCAAGTCGTGTGCCAATCGACTTTTTTACCCTACAAGTGAAGAATACGTTTGAGCGAGATGGTGTTACATGCCACACAACACGAGTTCATTCATCTTGGCGATGTCACTTGGCGACTGAGCTTTCGATAATCCACATTCGTTAAGTGGTGGCTGAGCTGTGGTAAAGGGTGGTCGGAAATTACCTCAAACGGAAGGAAGCAACAACGTAAGCTTCGTCAGGATCGGGAAGGACCTCTAAGAGCCGTTCGATACCAAACGAAATTTCAGACAAGATAATTCTTTATCGTGGGATTTCTTTAATTCATTGCTAAAGAAAATAAAACGACCTGTACGGCTTAATAAAAAAGGTACATCATAGGACCCAAAAACCTCGCTCCGTGTTCCGCTTTCTCCAAACTGGATAAAGAGAAAAGGATATGCGTCTTCCAGCAAATAATTAACACATTCGCGAACTGGCTGCCACGTCACTGTTGACAGTCATAATTTTGAAGTCGTAGATAACTTCGTCTATCTTGGAACCAGTATTAACACCAATAATAACGTCAGCCTTGAAATCCAGCGCAGAATCTCTCTTGCCAACAGGTGCTACTTTGGACTGAGTAGGCAATAGAAAAGTTAAGTCCTCTCCCGACGAACGAAAACCAAACTCTACAAGTCCCTCATCGTTCCCGTCCTGCTACATAGTGTGGAAGCATAAACGGTGACAATATCTGATGGGTCGGCGTTAACAGTATTCGAGAGAAAGGTTTTGTGATTTAGCAACAGCGAATACCACAACCGATGGAATGATGGGCTGCATGAGATATACGGCGGCAGTGGCATAGTTCAGCGAATCAATAAAAAGGAGCTGCGCTGGCTAAATCGTTGAATACTCCAGCTGAGAAAGTTTTCGATACAGCACATGCCGGCGGAAGCAGGGGAAGAGGAAGACCTCCACTCTGCCTGGTTCTGGCTATACGTGCTGTATCCATTTGGCGTCAGACAGCGAAAAGAAGGAAAAAATGATGCTCTATTATTAATTCGGCTTTAATCGAGTTAGCCTATGCCAGTAAGAATAAAGAAGGCCAAAGTTAAAAAAAATTCGGGAGGCGGTCACTTGAATTATTCAGTGTTTCTTATAATATAATTTGCCAAGATTAAAACTTTCTTAACACAATTTTTTGAATATAGCCTATTTACGTTTATTTTTGAAAGCGCAGAATGGATTACGCTGTACGTACATATATATTTTCGGAAATAGATAACAGACTTAGTTTTTTTTGGGATATCGAAACTAGAAAAATATATATCTTTGGGGGCATACTTAGGCCGTTCATGGTACCGTTAAGTAAATCAAACCGTACATTCTCAAGGTTAGATTAAATCACGTTGAGCTGGCTGAACACAGTTCCCTCATTTCCTGTTTTTTGTCATTGGCAACCAGACACAAGACTAGAGCTCGGTAATCGCATTCAGGCGAGAATTTCCTATGAACGTTAATAAAAAAGAAGCATCGCATGTAAGTGAGGGAAGATTGATTAATACGCAGTGAGATATCCAAACTGAACTAAGAGCGAGGTACGGTTTGAACTGTCTCTTTCTGCGTCTACCGAACTCGGCTAGCATCGTCTAAGTGGTAGTATTAATCGTAAAAATTCTGATAGGACACTAAAAAAAGAGAAAAAAGTCGTAGCTATTAGAAGACGGGGACGATTTCATCTCTCCTGCCCTTTTGTAGAAAATATTTCAATTATTTAGGCCAACCGAAAAAGAATTCTTCCTCTGGTTATGATAAGGCTTTTACGAATAAATTCTCATTTATAGCTGGCAAATACTCCCTCATCTACTGCCTCCCTACTTACACTCGTCGTCTTCATGCCCAAAGTAGGTAAGGGTGCTCATAGTTACCCTAAGGACTTCAGACACACAAGTTTTTCAAGCTTTTAGCTAAAAGCATTAGAGCAGATCACAGTGAGCTATCTCTCTCAAACCATTGATAAGAGGCTAGTGTCAAATAATCAGCACGCCTATAAAAAGGGAAAATGAACAGAAACTGTACTTTATAGAAAATCCTCTCTACAACAAGGAATTTTGTCTTGTTGCCTTCCTGGATATAGAAGGAGCTTTCAATAACATCTAACCAAGCGTAGTTACAGCTGCATTGCTATTTTTATATGTCGACACTACATTAGTGGACTTCATAAACCAGCTGCTATTAAGAAGGGTTATAAGCGCGAACTTTGAAGGATATCAAGTATCCAGATATGTAAACAGAGGCACTCTACAGGGTGGAGCTCTCTCTCTCCATTTCTCTGGAATCTCACAGTAACGCAAACGGAATGGAGTGGAGGCAAAGTAATTGACTACGCCGATGAAATCGCCATTGCATGCAGAGGAAAGTTTCCACAAACCGTCACAGAGGGAGAGGGGAGTGCAAGGAACACTAAGAAAATCCTCGTCCTAGACTACTAATTGTGGCCTCTGTGTCAACTCAAAAAAGGGTGGAGTTTGTACTATTCACAAGAAGATATAAGATACCCGCTATCAACCCGCCAGTACTGCAAGGCACTCAACTTTGTCTGGGCTCAAAAGCTAAATTTCTAAGAGTTATCTCAGGCAAGAAGCTCAACTGAAAACACAATATTATTTAAAGATGCAAAAGAGCTATAGGTAAGAAACGGGGTCTAAGCCCCAGGAAGATATCTGCATTTTCAGCGGTAGTTAAGGAGCAATAAAAGTACTGGGATCGCTAACACTAAGCTCCAAATTAGTGCTGAACTATCGCCGATCTCTATAAGAGATGACCAAACAGAACAGACTGTCAGTCATATGGATCCCTAGTCACTGGAATATCGAGGAAAACTGTAGTGCAGATGAACTTGCTACGCAGGGTCCGACCATGCAGATTCTTTGCTATGCCTTTTGCAACATGCAAACTGCTTCTCAAAGAATTCATAAATGAGCAAGCCGCTACAAGGAGGAATGACATAACAATCTGCCGCAAAACGAGGTACAACTCCCGAAATGGGATAAGAAGAGAGCACGAGATATGTACTCCTTAAAAAGAGACGACATGTCCAAAGTAATGGAAGTTATGTCTGTTCCTCCCTGTTCACCGTCTGATACGGCTCCACGCAGAAAGACTAGCGGCTCCGTACAGAAGACGCTATAGCAGCTGCAAGAAGGATGAAGAGGAGGAACCGATCATACAACTCTTATACGACTGTCCTGCATTAAGCAGGGCGAGGTTTCGTAATTTTGCGACCTTATTGCTGGATGGTCTATCGAAGATAGCTGACGTCAAAATCATGGATTTAATGAGGTTCATTAGAGAATCAAAATGGATTGAGGATGAAGCCTGATGGTTAAAGTTTTTGTAGTATCACAATGGGTCTAAGTTAGGCCTAAGTGAATCCGTTCTGTTACATCTCCCTCTCTCTCTCTAGGGGAAGACAGCTGCTGGGATTTACTTCTCTACCTGCGAGATCCGTAGGAAGAAGAACGTGTGCAATAAATTCAAAACGATCTGCTAATAATTTAATTTAAATTAAGAACCCCGACATCAGGCGACTGAATCTGTGCAAAAACAGGGTGTACGTCATAAGGGATGATAAGCTTACAGCAGCTTTAGGTAAATAGGACTATATTCCTCCAAAGTGATACTTTAATAGCAGCTTTTAGGTGGGCATACTTTCTAGATGGGAATTAAGGGGGCACGAGTCCATCTCAATCTGTACCAAAGGTGCGAAGGTATATTAGTTGCAGATCTGAATATCATCTTCTCCTTGTATCTTCCAAACGTAAGTACTTGGCATAAATATTTCTATTAGCGACTTATCAATAACTGAGAGAGGATATGGGCAGGCTATATAGTTTCACAGCTAACTAATTTGTTGATTATGGCAGCATATTTCGGGTTGAGATTTCAGCCATAGCAGAGACATTGGAACTGAGTTCATGGGTGAGGGATATTTTTAATTTTAGCAATGGTCAGGCAGCGATTAAGTCACATGACTCGCCTACCACGTTTTCAAAAAAAAAAAAAAAAAAAAAAGCTGGAATATCATTGATATGTGCAAG